GCAAAGCCAGGGGTGCGCGGCTTGGAGCGCACAGCCTTCGCTGCCTGGAGGATGGGTGGTCCTGAGGAGGAGGGCTTCCGTCTCTCCAGGCCCTGCCTGGAGGTTGGCAACCCCGTCATTGGGTGCATGTGGGGGGGCGCCAGAAGGTAGCCCTGCCTAGGGTGCAAAAACCCCTCGGGCCGGCCCTGGGGGTGGTGCTGGGAAGTGTCATCGTGTCAGAGCCGACTTATGGTGACCCTGTAGGGTTTTCAAGGCAAGAGACGTTCAGAGGTGGATTGCCATTGCCTGCCTCTGCAGAGCGACCCTGGACTTCCTTGGTGGTCCCCCATCCAGGTACTAACCAGGGCCAGCCTTGCTTAGCTTCTGAATATTAACGAGATTGGACTAGCCTGAGCCATCGAGGTCAGGGCTGGTGGGGTTATACTACAAGCAATGCTCCCTCTAAGCTGTGGAGTCTTATGAGCAAAAATTCTACTTTGTGAGCTCCTGGCATTAAAATTGTGAGCGAGCAATTTGGCTACTGCATAAATCAGTTTGCTCTGGAGCCCTCCTTCCTGAGCAAAGACAAGAATGTGTGAGCCGGAGGCTAAAACACTGTGAGCTGGCTTGCACTAACTCAGCTTAGAGGGAACATTGCTTACAAGTATTTATTTATTAGTTTGATTTTTACCCCGCTCTCCCCGCCGAGGCAGGCTCAGGGCGGCTTACACAAGGTAACAATAAATAAAACAACAATATAAATGTCAATATAAAAATGGACAGCATAGTAATTAAAACAATTTACATAACAATGTGTCAGCAAGCTGCCAAATTTCTTTTCTGTTCTCCATGTATGCGCTTGATTGCTTTCACTTTCATATGTAGACCTGTTGATGCACTTAAGTGCTTGGCTGCTGGAACGTCTATATCTCTCAAGGCCACAGGTGGTTGCTGCTAGATAGTTGCTTGGGTGATCTCACGAAGGACCATGGGAAGGAGATATGTTATGCCGCCTAGAAGTGTTTGCTCCCAGGCCCGATGGCGCGCGGGGGCACTCCCGCAATTGGGCCTCGGTTGTTTGAATGTACTATAACCTGCCATGCTCGTTGCTCCCCGCTCATTC